TAAACCCCAAACCCCAAACCCTAGTAGGAGGGGAAAAAACCCTGAAACCCCACAACAAAAGCCTAAACCTAAACCCACCTTGCCAGCAAGTCCGATCTCATCCTGCCAGGTGGGACGACCTCCATTCCCTCTCTCTGGTTGAGACAGTTCCGGCCTCTGCATCGGCTGTGGGATTCTGGGATTTGGGATTGGGATGTTTTGGGCACGGGGTTTGGCGAGACTCCAGTCTGAACTCACTGGCCAACATGTCACCACAGGATCTGGAGTGAGAATGGGCTTGAAGAATTACAAAAAAACGTCTTCACAGCACCAGGACAACACTGACTACTGCCATCAGAAGCGCTTCCCTTGAGGGCATTTGCCATTGCCACGGCTATGATGATGTTGTGTGGCTCACGCATGCCGTCGCTGCACATCTATTTGTGGTGTTGGAATCCAAAGGTCCCAACGACAAGCGCTGTGAAACGTCACCTCAGGGTAAATGCATAAACTCTCCGCATCAAGCCCGAAGCCTGAATCCAAAGCTGTCAAGTCTGAAACCCTTACGATGCCTCACGTACACAAAAAACCCTACGAAATCCGCATAAACCCCTATGACAACCGTTGGGTAAAGCTTTCCATAGGGCTCCGGGACATCCCCACGGCCTTCCGAGGCCGTGGAGCTCCGCTGTGCGGAGGCCGGTGGAGACATGCGCCGCCTGGAGGCCACCCTTGCTCAGGCCGGGGCTTTGGGTGTGCGTTTCTTGTGTGGCTTTGACGGGTTTTGTAGGGTTTGCCTCATGGTTTTTACCGGGTTTCTTGAAGGGTTCTAGAGGGCAAGGGTTCTAGAAGAGGTTTGAGATTGGGGACTTAGGCTTTGGGGTTTCGGGCTCTCACAAAGTTATTGAGCCTAGACAGTCACCGTAATGGTCATCGTCTCAGACAGATTTCGATGGCTGCGGCGACTTTGCTGCGAGAACTTCTAGTGACCCAAAATCGGTGCGTTCGCTGCGATTGACTTCTTGCAGAGAAGGTTTTCAGGATCGTGCCGTCAGGACATGCATCTTGTGTGGTACACCTGCCGTACTTAGTAGTGTTCGGGGGGTGTGGGGCCTACGGCCGGGATGTGTGCAGGATGGTTTGCAGGGTTGCTTTACGCTGCAAGGATCAGGCAGCAAGAATCTATACCGTCTGGGGGAGCCCCACATGTTGCAGGCATCTAACTCGTCAATTTCGAGCACTACGCACTCATTAGAAATCTTGAGATCGCCCTAAACGCTAAGCCCAAAACCTTAGTAGGCTCCCCAAACCAACCTCCCTTCATTATAGTACCCCATAGGTCTCTTTATAAGCACCAAACCAAACTCCCTTAATTATAGTATAGGTCTCTTTATAAGAACCCTCGTAACCCTATAACCCTAAGACCTATGCCTCCAAAAAAACCCTCCACCCTGCAATGCGGGCACGTCCT